CACCCGCTCACCCGCACGCCTGCAGATAGCTCGGGACTTTAACCCCAACTGGATGAGCGCCGTGGAGATCTTGGACGATGACAATTTCCTGGGGGCTGAGAACGCCTTTAACCTGTTCGTGTGTCAGAAGGACAGGTGGGTGACAGCGTGGGAGGAGGCCCGGGCCGACGGGTGGGAGAACAAGCCCAGGCTCTTGCTGGGAGAACAAGGTCTCAGGCAGCCTCTCGGGCAGCCCCGCTGCGGGCTTTGGGTGGTGAGTTTGTCGCGCTGCCTTCCAGCGCGGCCACCACCGACGAGGAGCGGCAGCACCTCCAGGAGGTCGGGCTCTTCCACCTGGGCGAGTTCGTCAACGTCTTCTGCCACGGCTCCCTGGTCATGCAGAACCTGGGCGAGACGTCCACGCCCACCCAGGGCTCCGTGCTCTTCGGCACGGTCAACGGCATGATTGGTAAGGGCCACCTGCTGGGCTCCCACCGGCCTCGGAGGGAAGAGCAGGGAGCGGGCCCGCCCCCGCTGCCGCCTGGGCTGCCTCCCTGCCCAGCAGGCTCTGCAGCTCCGGGCTCCCTTGCTCCGCAGGGCTGGTGACCTCCCTGTCCGAGAGCTGGTACAACCTCCTGCTGGACATGCAGAACCGGCTCAACAAAGTCATCAAGAGCGTGGGCAAGATCGAGCACTCCTTATATCCTTCCCGAGCAGCCGCCTCCCGGGGAGCGGCGGCCAGCTGCTCCGGACACTGCTGTCCAAGAACCCTGACGGACCCTGTGGGACCAGGCCCTTGGGAGCTTAGAGGACAGTCCAGCGCACAGCCATAGGGAAGAGAGTATAATTAACCCGTACCTATCACCACGTCACCTGGCGCTTCTTGGAAACGTACATTTATGTCCCTGAAACCTCTGGCCTCTTGGCATCGCAGGAACAGTTGGTTTCTATGACAACAGAAGAGCTTCCTTTCAGAGGTTGTGTTGGGACAATGGTGTTGAGGGGCCCTTACTAGAGAGGCTGGCAGGAGCTGGGAAAATGAAGAAGCTGAAAATTCCAGAAGCCCAAGGATCAGCCCTCCCAACCCCAGGGACACCCAGGATTCATGTAGTGGGCGTTTGTTTATTGTGGGAGATTTAGAGGCCACCCGGTCAGGAGGTGGGTGTAGCTGGGGGCTCCTGCTGTGAGTCTGGCATCCGTCAGCCTGCGACAGGGCGGTGTGGCCTAGCTGTCGCTGGGGGAGGGCTGAGGTGTAGGTGGGGCATGCCTCTCGTCTCACTGAGCCTAGTGGGGTGAGCTGTGCACACTGGCTGGGCCTGGAGGAGGGGTTCTCCGGGTGTGCACCCCGCCTACTGCCCGCAGCTCTGGAGCCCGAGCTGCACTTTAGAATGCTGAGTGAAGATCACCCTGCTGAGAGCTGTTGGAGCAGGTGTGATTCTCCGGGTCTCTCGGTTCCATGGTAGTCCGGAGAGCAGTGAGGGTTCCGGGTGGGCCCGTTTCCTCTTCCGGTCCCGGTGGTTCAGCTTGTGGCTGAGCAGAGGGGGTGGCTGAGGGAAGGGCATCTCCACGGACGGCACGTTCCTTAACTCCTCCACCTGGAGGTCCTTTCACACGGAGCGAAAGACAGAACCGGCCACCGGCTTCATCGACGGGGACTTGATTGAGAGTTTCCTGGACATCAGCCGGCCCAAGATGCAGGAGGTCGTGGCAAACCTTCAGGTGAGCTGTGCGGTGTCCAGTCTGGGCGCCTCACAAGCCCTCTGCAGGCCTGGCTCACCAGGACCGCTGAACCCCGGTGCCTCCCTCCTCGCTTCCCAGAGACCAGTGGCCCCTGTCTGTCCTGCTGCCCAGGGAGTGGAGTCTGAGGACCAGGAGATATAACTGAGCTCGCCTCCTGGGTCCCCACCAGGCGCCCGGCTGTACCCAGGGGGCCGTGCGCTTTAGCAGAAGGCACCTCGGGCCATGTTGGGGTTCCGGCAGACCCACAGGAGGGAGGCAGGGCCAGAACCCCACCAGGAAGAGAAGGGCCCTGGAGCTGCAGTTTGGGGTGTTGCTTCCTAGAGCTGGTGCCCCTGGGGACCATCCTATCCTGGAAGTGCGGCCTGTCCCGCAGGCGGCAGCTCCCAGCCAGCTCATGGTCAGTAGACCTGCTGGGCCACACTCCAAGGGGAGAGCCCCTCGCAGTCCGCACACCTTCCTCCTTCCCTCCACAGTATGACGACGGCAGCGGGATGAAGCGAGAGGCCACCGCCGACGACCTGATCAAGGTTGTGGAGGAGCTGACGCGGATCCACTAGCCGGGGCAGGGTTCCCTCTCGCAGAGCCTCTGGGGAGGTTCACCCTCCCGTCTCCCCTCCCCGCCGCTGTCTTCTCGGCCACGGGAAGCCTTTCCCTGAGCTGCTGTCCCAGAAGCCACAGTCACCGTGTGGAAATGGGGGTTTCTTAGAACTAAACCGGGACCCGGGGAGCAGCTGTCTCCCTGGATTTTTAATGTCGCACCTGCTTCCAGCCCCACGCAGGACACCAGGCCTTGGTGCAGCCGCCCTTCCAGGGAGGGTGTCTCCACGGCGAGGGGACGCTGTGTGTCACACCCGTGCGCTGTCCTCTGCTATCTCTATTTAGGTTGGGGTGTGGGGGGCCTTGGGGACACGGGAAGAGGGGCGGGAAGGGTTCATTGTCTTTGAAGTGAGGGCTTCCTTGTATTTCCTTCTGTTGCCTCTAGAGCTCTGGGTCTGGAGACCTGACCACCAGGCCCTGGGTGCCTGAGCATAGAATCTGGAGATGGTGGGTGGTCCTCCAACCACAGCCTTTCTGTGTCTGGGGGGCTGACTGCCTGCAGCGAGGAGGAGGTGGGAGGGCGTGATGGTGGTTAGTTTACCAAATAAAGTAGAGTCTAAGAAGAAAGATCTGTTTGTTTTCGCTTTTCCTCCCCCCGCCCGCCAATCCAGTATCCTGGTCACACTGCCCAGTGTCCCGAGTTCACTTCCCACATCGATGGCTGCTGCTGGGCACCTGCCGCTGCTGCCGGAACAGGTCCTCTCTCACTTGCAAGTAGTGAGTGAGGTGATGCCTCACCTCCTGGGCCATGTGCGCTCCACGGTGCCAAGCGCTGGGTTTTTGATTCCCTGGTCTGTGGCTCTTGACGGCAGCATCTGCTTCCCAGCCGCCTGTCAGTCACCTGCTGGGCTGGGGGCTGGGCTGCCTTCCCGGACATGGGTTTGCAGCAGATGAAGCTGCCACAGCGGCCCCCCACACGCCCCAAGGCCACCGGCAAGTAGCCCCTCATGGGCCTCCCGCCCTACGGACACACACCATTTGGGTTCTGGCTTCATGTCCTTTGTGTCTGGTTTGAAAACACAAGTGAAGGCATATTTGGGGTTCACCTTTCTGTCCAGCAGACAGCCTGTCTCTGGCTCCGTGGGTCCACATTCCCACCTGTGATCCAGTGGGAATAAAGGCTGCTCTGTCCCCACAGGGAAGTTGGGTTGATCCCAGACAAATTGGCCCGCTCCTTTAAGACCAGCCTTTGATACAGTTTCAGGAAAGTTGTGGTTTCAAGTTCAAACTGTGGTTTTGAGAGATTCAGGTGTAAAAGGAAAAGGCAAGGGAGCACCTCAGCTTTGGGGTCTTCGGAGCGAGTTCCTCCGCAGAGGCGTTCCTTCGCTGCCCGTCTTCCTCCTCTCCTGGCCTAAGCCATCCCCTGAGGGTTCCCGGACTGTGAGGGTGCAGGCCAGGCTGCGGAACCCCCTTATCCCCCTCTCCTCAGCGCACCAGGCCTCTAGTATTTAAACAATATAAAGACACAACAAAAGCACCCAAGGTTTTCCTTTGTTATGAATGCACAGCATCATGGGATTGCCCCCAGAACAAGTGTTAGTAAAAGTGTCCGAGCCAGGTGTGGCTCAGTGGATAGAACATTGGCCTGCACACTGAAAGGTCACGGGTTCGATTCCAGTCAAGGCCACATCCCCAGTGTGGGGTGTGCAAGAGGCAGCCGATCAATGATTATCATCACTGATGTTTCCATCTCTCCCTCTCCCTCTCTGAAATCAATAAAAATATGAAAAAAAGGCATCTGAAAGGAAAAATGCAAGAATCCAGGCTACTGTTGGCATGCCATGTCCCTCTGTGGCCACCAATGTTAAGGCCCGGCAGGCAGTGGGCAGCCGCTGTGGAGGCAGGACCAAAGGAACAGGTGGTTCAGGGGGGAAGAGCGAGCACTTTCTGACAGCAGTGATTCCAACGGGACTGGTCCTGCATTTCAGGCAGTGAGCACCTCATCCCGGGAAATGCTGAGGCAAAGCCTCATGGGGTGGCGGGTGGCTAGGGACGATTCCACAGAGAAGATTCTGCAGAGAGAAGGCGGGTGTCCGCGTCCTCCGAGGGATGACCTGGCCGCCACCTACTCACCACTCCCTTGCCCGCCGCTCGGACTGGCCCAGCAGCTGCAGGGGCTCCCAGGCCGGCCGGTGCCCGCTGGCCGCGCACTCGGGCGGCGGAGACCTGCAGCCGGGCAGGCTGGGGCCGGCTCGGCACGGCCCAGCGGTGGAAGGACGCAGCACCTGGACACCGGCATCGGCTCCACCAGCTCCACGCCTGCCCTGCTCCCAGTCTCTGCCCCCCGCGGGCCTCAGCCTGCCGCCCACGGCCCTTCTCAGGAAGCCGAATCCCAACCAGGCCAGGGAAGCGGGCAAGGGCAAACCCCGCCCCCAGGGGTCCCCGATCTTTGACCCCATCCGGGACTCTGCGCCTCCCCAGGCGGCCGCGGGCGGGCGGGCGGGCGGGCGGGAGGCGCTGCCTTTTGTGTGCTCGGCTTCGAGGTGCCGAGACCCTCCAGCCGCGCGGGATCCCCTCGCGGCCCCCGGCCCCTCCTCTGGGCGTCCCGGCCCCCTGCTCGGCCGCGCGTGCCAGCTGGGGGCGCGCTGGTTCGCTCCCCGCGGCGCCAGGAGGAGGGGCGAGCCCGGGAGCCCCGTCCCTCGCCGGCGCCGGAGCCAGCCCGCCGGGGACGCGCGCCGCCCGTCATGTGGGCCGGACTGCTCCTGGCGGCGGCCGGCGTCGCGCTCCTGCTGCCCGGGGCCTCGGCCCGCGGCTACACCGGGAGGCAGCCGTCCGGGCACCTGGGGACGGAGAGGTGAGCGCCCCGCGCTGGTCCCGCCCTGGTCCCGCCGCGGGGGCGCTCCCGGCGGAGAGGGGCGCCCAGAGCCGCCGGCACCCGCGAATCGGGGCTCCCCTCTGGGGTCCTGTCCGTGGGGGCCGGACAAAGAGACTGAACTGTGCCTCGTGCGCATCTCTGTGCCCGGGTCCGGGCCGTCCTGGCTGGGACTGGGGGGGCCGGAGGGCCAGGCGCTGGGGAGCCACCTGAGGTCGCCCCGCACCGCAGACCTGGGCGGGGAGGCCGGACGTGCTGCCGCCTGGTCTCCAGGTCGGCGGGCTTCCCGGAGAGCGTGCGGGGCTCTGCCGGGCCGGGCCTGGCTCCGGTGCCAGCGCCCGGGGGAGGGGGCTGCTCCTGGCGCGGGCTCTGCGAGCCGCGGACCTTGGACCCGCAGGGTCTCTCGGGTCACGTTTCGGTTTCCGCCTGGGGGTGGGGTGGGGGTGGGGTGTTTGTCTCTTTGCTCTTCCCCGATAGACGCCGCCGCCCCCTCGGGTCCGCTCCCGCCGGTCAGCCGAGCACGTGTGTGCGTGATGCCGCGGGGGCAGGCGGGGGGCACCGGCTGGAGCGCGCAGCCCGGCGTGGGCCGCTGCCTGGGGGTTGGGGCGCAGGGGCGCCTTGCAGGGGGCGCAGCTCGCAGCTCAAAGCTCATAGGTGTTTGCTGCCGCTGCCGCCGCCGCCGCCACCGGTGTCTGCTTAGATTCCGGACTCCGCGTTCGGGAGCTTTCCTGCCACCTGTCTCCCCGCCGCGCCGCTCCGAGGCCCGGGGCGTCCCTACATCTGCCAGGGGCTGGCTCCCCTTTCCTTTCAGAGCGGGTCTGGGGAGCAGGGGCGCAGCGTCTCCTTCCCCGGCTGCTGACGTCATCTCTCTGGCTGCAGCCTGCCTGTGGGTCCCCCTCCTCCAGGGCCCCCCTGTTCTGTGATGACCTCAGAGCAGCAGGCTTCAGAGGACACGGTGCGGGCCATTTCCTGCAGACATGCCTGTGCTCAGACAGCTTGTCACAGCTGGCAGGGGCTTCTCCGCGGAGGGGCGGGTCTGTCTTGTGCACCATGCCCTCAGCCCTGCAGCTGTGCCAGGGCCCTCGTGGGTGGTGCTCCCAGAGGCCTGGCCTATAGACCGTGCCCATCCAGACAGGTGGAGCGCAGGCGGGGGAGGGTTCCTGGGTCCGGTTCTGCTGTGTGGGCTTCCCGCTGCCTGCCCATCCCAGAACCAGTGATAGCCACGTCTGCGTTCCCCTCCAGGCCTGTATCCTGAGCTCCCTCCCACTCAGCACCCTCCTGCCCACACATGGCCGTTCCTGCCCACTTGCCCAGCCCAGCCTCTGGGAACTCCCTGACCCCACTCAGAGCTCCATGCCAGGCCTCTGTGGCCCCTGTCACTTCGAGTTTGTTCTCACCTGGCTGCTTGTCCAGCGCCCCCGCAGGCGGGCTGCCCTGAAGTGCCTCATCCAGCAGTGGGCACAGCGGGTCCTTCTTCACCCCTTTGGCATCCCCCTCCCTGAGATGTCACCTGGGGAGGGACGTGTCCAGCTCCCCTCCTCCTTCTGTGTTTTGCTGACTCCTCTTCTTAACCTTTCCCTCAACAGCCATTTAGTGAGCACCTACTATGTGCTCACTAAAAGATGAAGCCCTTGTCCTCAGGGAGTGGTAGGGGAGACAGACAGTGAATAAAATCAACCAGTTAATAAGCACTTTTACGTCCCAGGGAGTGAGTGTCACGAAGACAAATAAAGCAAGGAAGGGCCCTGACTGCGAAGGTGACGTGAGCGGAGACATGGGTCCCAGAGGGATGGCCGGGTGTGTCAGAGGAAGGCCCTGAGGCAGCCACACCAGTGGCTCTCCATCCACTGCCGCTTCCCTCCACGGAGCTGAGGCCCCGGTGCGGCCCTCTCTGCTGGCCACGCCGCTCTGTGCTCACCGGCCGGTGTCTGTAGGACAGACCGGGTCTGTGCTGCCTCCAGACGGGCCGTCCGGGTCTCTTCTCTCTGGAAACTTCTGGTCGCCTCTCCTGTGGGTCCTGAGAGCTGCTTGTTGAGTGACTGGCTTGGGGGGCGCTCACCCCTCTGCAGATGCATCGGAACGTGGACTGTGCTCTCCTCTCTTGCAGACGCCAGCTGGGCCCCCACGTCTGCCTCTCGGGGTTCGGGAGTGGCTGCTGCCCAGGCTGGGCGCCCTCCATGGGCAGTGGGCACTGCATCCTTCGTAAGTGCCTGTCCCCGGGCCCCAGACATCCTCCCCAGCAGGCGCTTCCTCCCTGGGTTCGGCAGACAGCCCCAGGCATCCTCCCAGCGGGCACTCCCTCCCTGGGCTGGGCAGAGGGCCCCGCCTCGCCCCTCACTCCTTTCTCTCCCAGCCCTCTGCTCCTTTGGCTGCGGGCGTGGCATCTGCATCGCTCCCAACGTCTGCTCCTGCCAGGATGGAGAGCAAGGGCCCACCTGCCCAGGTACCGGGGGCGGCGAGGGCTCCGGGGAGGGCTCTGAGCACTGAGGTATGTGCCAGGCACTGGGCACGGTGTGCTAGCAGCAGGCACTCCTTCCCGTTTTATGGACGAGGAGACGGAGGCACAGAATCAGTGGCTCCCAGGTGCCGTCGCTGGTGGGTGGCAGAGCTGGGTTAAACTCAGAGGATCCTTCCCAGCAGAACTCAGGAGGAGCGGGGGTGGGGCGGCCGGGCCTGGGCGTGGCGCGCTCACCTGTGCGCTGCCTGTTACAGACGCCCACGGGCCCTGCGGGGAGTATGGCTGCGACCTGGCCTGTAACCACGGTGGCTGCCAGGAGGTGGCCCGAGTGTGCCCCGTGGGCTTCTCGATGACGGAGACGGCGGTGGGCATCAGGTGCACCGGTAAGAGGCCTGGGCCCGGGGGAGAGGAGGGGCGGCAGGAGCCATGCCCTGCCCTCTCCTGCCAGGATGGTCCCAGGGAGATGCCAGCGCAGGGCTGGGCAGGGGGAGCGGCAGTGGGAGTGGCAGGGAGGGAGGAGGGAGGCGTGTGTCCCCTGCTCTTTCTCCTCCCCGGGGCAGGCGCAAAGGGGGAGGGGGTGGCAGTGACGGGCCTGGGGGCAGGGACTCTGGTGCAGACCAGAGCGGGCAGAGCCGGTGCTGTAGACCCCGCAGAGCCGTGTGGTTCTTGGCGGGGTGTGTGTGTGTGTGTTCTATGAAGCAGGGGTGGGGAGGTCTGCCTCCCAGCCCCCCTCTCCCCTCAGGCCTGCACCTCCTGGAGCACTGCTTATACCCAGTCACCTGCCCCGGGTGCTGCCCATCCAGCCTTAACCAGCTCCCCAGCCCTGACCCCCCACCCCTCCTCCCTCCCAAGCAGGAACCCGTGGCCTCCTGCCAGGCTGGGCTCAGGTCTCCCCTGTGCTTCCCAGAACTTCCTCAGACTCCCCTCCTCCCCCCGTGGGCCCCTCCCCCTGGGAGCCTGCTGGTCCTCTGCCATCTCTCCCCCGCTGAGACCAGCTCACACTCCGGCTGGGCCTGGGCGTTCCCTGTGGGCACATCTCACTGGCACGGGTGGCCTGAGGGCGTGTGCACGGCTCCTGCCCTATCAGACTGGAACCATCTGGGGAGGCAGCGCCGCCGTGTCTCGGTTCCACTCGTGTCCTCAGTGTCCTCTGAGGGCCTGTGCACACAGCGGTGCCAGTGAGCATCACAGGGCTCTGCCAGCCTCCTGCCGCCCTCTGTCCTGTGGGGCTGCCCGGCGGGACGGCTCAGCTGGCCATCCTCTTGGTCGTCAGTCTGCGGGGATCAGAGAGGAGGCCTGGCCCTCGGCCTCTCCCTCTGGCTTCCCTGTGGTCCGAGGTGACTCTCCCTGGAGGGTTGGGCACGGGGTCTGTGCAGGGCGCTTTCTCCCTGCACCTGACCGCGGGCACCGTGTGCCACGCCAGGCGGTTTCCTCTCTCCCCAGACATCGACGAGTGCTTAAGCGCCTCTTGCGAGGGCCACTGCGTGAACACGGAAGGCGGGTTTGTGTGTGAGTGCGGGCCGGGCATGCAGCTGTCCGCCGACCGCCACAGCTGCCAAGGTGAGCGGCTCTGGGGGCGGCAGTGAGTCTGCGGGGGCTGGCATGGACCGGTGGCTCGGCTCTGGAGACAGGCCCAGGAAGAAGCATCCTGCCGCAGCAGCCCAGGCTGGCGGGGAGCAAAGCCACCGGGGGGACAGGGGCAGGTGTGGGGGACCCCCGGAAGAGGAGGCGTCTCCCTCCTAAGGGAGCAGGGTGAGCGGTCTGTGAACACCCCTCACGATGGAGGGTGACTGTCCCTTAGAGGAGTTAGGTAAGGAAGCACTCGCCCACGAGGCAGCCGCCACACGTCCCCGGGCCCTGCGGGGTTAGCCTCTGTCATGTGATGTCATCGCTGTAAGAAACGGCTTAACAGAAACAGCTGCCAGCTCCAGGCCTTCCCCCACTCCTGCACCTGCTCTCCCGGCGAGCGACCTGGTACTGCAACAGAACGCCGGGACCGGGCGGGGCGGCTGGGACAGCATCAGGTCAGCCTCCCAGTTCTGGAGGTGGAAGTCCAGGTGCCCCCACTCCATTCCTGGTGAGGACCCTTTTCCTGGCTCGCAGAGGGAGGGAGCCTGGCTCCGGGCTTGAAGGACAGGGCAAGCCCAGGGGCAGGGCACGGTCGACAGTCTGGACCTCCAGGTCCCTTAGCCCGATGTCTCTTCTTCTAAGGGCACCAATCCCATCCTGAGGGCCCCACCCTCCAGACCCCCCTCCTAACACCATCACTTGGAGGTTATGGCTTTCCCAGGTGAATTTGGGGGACACAATTCATCCACAGCACCTGGTTATCAATCTGACTGCCTCTCCCTAGCACATGTACACACACACACACACACACACACACACTCTCACACATACTCTCACACACTCACACATACACACACACACACACTCACACACACACATACACACACACACTCACCACTCACACACACACACATACACACTCTCACACACTCACACACACACACACTATCACAGAGATGTCATAAGAAATGAACAGCTCATGGTCCCAGACTATCGTGTCTGGGCACCTTAGTAAGCACCATGGCTGCGTTTTCTCATTTTGTCCTCCAAATTATCCTCTGAAGTTTATTTCCATTTTCCTGATGGGAACACTGAGCCCACAGACGTTAGATAATTGGCCGGAGACTGTGTCAGAGCTGGAATTTGATCCCAGCCGTTCCGCTGCGTGCTTTCCCCTCCAACAATCTGCCTTGGCAGTCTCTCCCCATCAGGGCCAACAGCCCTGCTTAGCTCTTTGAAGTGCAGCCTGGTGCTCTGGGTGCAAACATCCCACAGCTCCAGCCCTTCTCCTATGGAAGCCTGGGAGGAGCACGGGGAGAGGCAGGGAGGTGCTCGAAGCTGCTGTTTCGTAAGGTTTCGCCTTTTCAAATACCAGCTCGGAGTAGCTTTGGCAGAAGGTGTCATAGCAGCTGGGTTTTGAGGTATGAGTAGGAGTTTTCCAGCATATGAGACCAGAAAGGCAGTCCAAGCGGACAAGAGAATGTGGGCAATGGGGAGGCCCACAAGAGTGGGGTGCACTTGGAAGATGGGGTTTGTGAACTATGGTGCCGCGTCGGTGCCTGTGGGAGCCGGGGAAGGGGAGGGGCCTGGTCAGAGGTGCCCTTTGGGGGGCTGTGCAGAGGGAGGCCTGGGAGGAGCACGGGGAGAGGCAGGAGGTGCTCAAAGCTACTGTTTTCCAGACCCTAGCCCCGTGGTCCCAGCCTGTTTCTGGCCCCAACTAAACTCCTCTAACGTCCTCATGCCCCCACCCCCGTGACATGTAATTCTTACTATTCAAAAAGCAAACCCTGTTCACGTGGAGGAAGCCTAAAAGGCCATGAACTTGGTCTAAACAAGCCCCCTAAGAACACGGCATCCATGAAAGAGAAAAATAAAGGGACGAAAGGACAGTGGAAGTCCTGAGGAAGAAATCACTAGGAAACTTTAAAATAAAAATAATAGGAAGTGATAGGAAAGAATAACCAAGTTACAAAACATAATCATAAAGACCTGACATGGATAAATGTCACAATATCTATTTACATATGTATACGAGGTCCCCAGGACCAGAAGAAGTGCAAAAAACTCCCTGTAACTCATTCTCAAATTGACCCCATAAAAGTCACATTGCCCCTGAGGGGTGTGTGCCCCACACTGGGACCCACTGCTCTGGAGAAGGTGGCTGGGTGAGGATATGAGTGGGGGTGGAGGGAAGGCTGAGCAGGGGGGACTGAGGAGTTGATACATGGATGTGAGCACAGAGAACGGGTTAAGATGGCCTCCCCAGGCCCTGCGTGGGGCAGGAGACGGCGATGAGAGAGGAGGGACTGCATGTTTCCACAATGCCATGGGGAATGAGCCCCAGCCTCGCCCGTTCCCTCCAGACACGGACGAGTGCCTGGGGACCCCGTGCCAGCAGAGATGCAGAAACAGCATTGGCAGCTACCGGTGCTCCTGCAGACCCGGCTTCCATCTCCACGGCAACCGGCACTCCTGTGTAGGTAAGGTCGGGAGGACCTTGTCGTCTTCCCACTTAGGCCGCCCATCAAGACAGAGCGGGGACAGGACAGGAAGCTGTGGCAGGCAGTCGGACTTCCTGTCCCCGAGCCTGTGAGCATCTGAGCCTTTGCTCAAGCCGGCTACACCCCAGGGCCCTCCCTTCACCCGTTTTCTTGGCTGCCTTCACTCCCCCTGGTGACCAGAGCACGTTCTGCCTCAGTGCCTCTTAGTGCCCCTGTCTTCTCAGCCCATCGGCAGGAGTCTCCAGCAAGGAACGGCATGTGGCTGGAGCTGGGCTCCCGGGGTGGAGGGGGGTCTCAGCGGGCTGGAAAAGGACCTTGTTCCAGCCGACCTCGGTGTGTGCCCCGAAGCCCGAGCAGGGCAGTGACTTTTGAGACTTCAGATGGGGCCACACCACCGACCCCCGGTGGGTGGGAGGTGTGAGGTGTGGATTGAGGTTCCCAGTGGGCTGCTCCCCTCCAGCCAGCACTTGATCTTTGCTGCGTGCTGTTGGGGGATGAGTCCCTGGCCCACCCATTAAACGCCAACTATCATGCATGACCCTACCAAGGGCACTCGCATAGACTTCTGCCCCACTGCCAGGCATCTGAGCCACCCTCACCCCGGGCAGGGAGACCCCGGCCTGGTGGCCTAAGGGATGGTGGCAGAAAGGCTCAGTGGCCTGACAAGGCAGCCGTGGCAGCGAGGCTCTCCCGCAGATGTAAACGAATGTCGGAGGCCACAGGGGAGGCGGGTCTGCCACCATGCCTGCCACAACACCGTGGGCAGCTTCCTGTGCACCTGCCGGCCTGGCTTCAGGCTGCGGGCCGACCGGGTGTCCTGTGAAGGTCAGTGACCAGCCCCGGCTCTCGGACCCCGCCTTCCCCACCCCACCCTCAGCCCCGCCAGGCCCCGCCCCCCAGCTCCAGGTCCTACCTCCCAGCACCAGGCCCCACCCTCCAGTGTCAGGCCCCGCCCTCCAGCACCATGCCAACCTCTTCTCCATCCACTATTGTTTTTGATTCATCTTAAAACACTTCACTTTCTTCTTCCTCCCTCCATTGCTTTATCCGTTCTTTCTCCCTTTTCTTTTCTTTCTTTTTTTTTTTTAAATATATTTTATTGATTTTGTACAGAGAGGAAGGGAGAGAGATAGAGTTAGAAACATCGATGAGAGAGAGTCATCGATCAGCTGCCTCTCGCACACCCCCTACTGGAGATGTGCCCGCAACCAAGGTACATGCCCTTGACCGGAATCGAACCCGGGGCCCTTCAGTTCCCAAGCCGACGCTCTATCCATTGAGCCAAACCGGTCCCGGCTCTTTCTCCCTTTTCACTTCATTGTTTCCCTAGCCCCCTGGTCGGCAAAATGCGGCTCTCGAGCCACATGCAGCTCTTTGGCCTTGTGAGTGTGGCTCTTCCACAAAATGCCATGGCCTGGGCCAGTCTATGTTGAAGAAGTGGCATTAGAAGAAGTTTAAGTTTAAAAAATCTGGCTCTCAAAAGAAATGTCAATCGTTGTCCTGTTGATATTTGGCTCTGTGGACTAATGAGTTTGCCGACCACTGCCCTAGCCCTTCTGTCCCCCCCCAAATGGTGAAAGAAAAAAAAAGAGCGTGTGACATAGGAGCCCCGTAACTTGGGCCCCAGGGGCACTGTGGACAGTGGTGTCAGCTCCATCTGCCATACTTTGCCGGCGAGCCTGGAAATTTAGGTTCGATGTATAAAACCGAAGGTGCTCTCTCTAGTCCTTGGTGAGTGCTCCGGGTCCTGGGTTCATCCCAGGAGCACCCCTGGGTGGCAGGCGCACAGCCCCCCCTGCAGCCGCCTGCACTTCGCTGCTTTCCCATCCGTCTCCCTGTGACCGTGTTGCAGCCCCAGGACTTAGAGCCCAGCGGCTGGCGTTGGACCCAGCGTGTTGGAGAAGGTGGCCCAGAGGCGTTTGGTGACTGTGGTGGCGCTGGGTCCGGCTCCTCCGTCCCACCTCCCTCAGGACAGCCCTGTGCTTCCGTTCCAGCGTTCCCGACGGCCGTGCTGGCCCCATCCGCCATCCTGCAGCCCCCGCAGCCCCCGCCCAACATGCTGCTGCTGCTTCCCGAGGCTGGCCGGCCCGCCCTCTCCCTGGGACGCCCCCCTCCTTCTGGGGCTCCCGGGGCCCCAGCGGGAGTCCGGACCACCTGCCTGCCCTCTCACCCCTCAGCACCACCGGCAGCCTCCCCTTCTGCCCTGGCGAGGCTGCTGGCCACCCCGATGGCCACCCCAGTGCCCAGCGTCCCCCTGTTGGGGACCCTCAGACCTTCTTCACAACCGCACGAGAGGGCGGGGGTTACCCCTTCCCCCCCTAGGGGCCCCACGGCCCCACAGCCCACTCCAGGGCCCTCTGCCTGCTGGCACCTGGGAGCCACGTACGAGTCGGGGAGCCACTGGACAGCGCCCAGGTGTTCCCAGTGCTGGTGTGAGGTGGGTGCGAGGCCTCGGGCAGCCCCGGTCGGGTGCGTGGTCTCGTGGTGATCGGAGCTCCACTTCCAGGACGGGGAGGTGACCTGTGAGGAGGCGCCGTGTGAAGCTGCTTGCTCCCACCCGATCCCTGCCGGGGATGGCGGCTGCTGTCCGTCCTGTGCAGGTGGGAGCTGGTCCAGGGCGGCTGGGGGTTCCTGTGTGGTCCCACCTCTTCCCTCCCCCAGTTCTCCTGTGGCTCATAGGCTGCTCTCAGACCTTAGGGTGACCTGAAGGGGGACCCCTGGGCCCACCCCAGAGCTTCCATTGAGCACGTGTGAGGTAGGGCCGGGAACTGGAATTCCTACCAAGTTCCCAGGTGATGCTGCTGTCCAGGGACCACAGTGAGAACTGCTGGTCTATGTTGTGATATCCCTCAGGGGGGACTTTTCATCTTCTGGATCCCTCTGAGCTTCATTCATTCATTCATTCATTCATCCATCCATCCATCCGTCCATCCTTTCATCCATTCATCCATTCGTCCGTCCATCCATCCATTCATCCATCCATCCGTCCGTCCGTCCATCTGTCCATCTGTCTGTCCGTCCGCCCATCCATCCACTCGTCTGTCCGTCAGTCCGTCTGTTCGTCCGTCCATCCATCCATCCATCCATCCATCCATCCATCCATCCATCCCATGAGTCTCTGCACATGTGCGCTGCAGTCCCTTTCCCTCGCCCCATCCTGCAGCCAGAGGAGTACCCTTTGTAAATTGTACCCCCTTCTGATTTTCTCCTCCAATCTGCTTGCAGTTTTTCTGCTGTTAGGACAAAGACCCCACTCTTCACAGGCCCTTCAGCAGAGCTCCTCAAAACGCACTGAGCACACGCATCGCTGGGTTGTCAGAGAGCAGGTTCTGTTGGGAGGAGCTGGGGCCCGGGTGCACGCTGTGATGTGCGTGCGCGGCCGCTGCACTCGGCGTGGCCGTGGAAAGCCTCCTGCGGGCTAGGGTAGCGGCCCTGCCGGCTTTCTGGATGGCAGGCGTGACCTCTTACCGTGTCCTGACTGTACCGAGCCGCAGGGTGAAGTGCTGGGTACTTTACGTTTGCGCTGCGGACCCTTCTGAGCCCTCTGCGGGGCACAAGCTGGCATTCCCACTTTACAGGAAGGACAGCGGAGGCCCAGGGCGGGAGGGGCGTGGCCAAGGCCCCTGGAGAACGGGGCAGGAAGGCAGGTTTGGAGCCCAGGCTGCCTTCCCCAAGGAATAAAGGGTTGTGCTCTCAACTCAGTTTTGGTTTTGTCAGACATGCATGCCCCCTCCCTGTCCCTCCCAGGAGCATCCTGTGGGGTGTCCCCTGTAGCTCTCCAGGGATCTTAGCCCACACAGTGCTGGGACCTGGACCCGCCCCTCCTGGGCACCCCCGCCGCCGTGAGAGAGGCACAGGTGCATGCTGCCTGGAACGGGGGCGACACCACACGCTCTGCTTTGAGGAGCCTGACCCGCCTCCCGCCTGCTTGTCGCCTCAGGCTGTTTTCACAGTGGCATCGTCAGAGCCGAGGGCGCCGTGTTCTCCCCTCCCACGGAGAACTGCACTGTCTGCGTCTGCCTGGTGAGCCTGGGCGCCCTTTGGGGGTTTGGAGGTGGGAAGAGGGTGGTGAGGGTGAGCTGGTGGAACGGAGGGAGAGTTGGAGGGAGAGTTCTCAGGCTGTAGATTTTGGTGGGAACCCGCTGAGTTGAAAAGCCTGGGGGATGTGAGGCCTGCAGGTCCGTGGAGCCAGTGAGGCTCTGCTGAGTTGAGGAGAGCCAACTGGCAGCCGGGGCCTGTCTGTCCGGTGAGGGCGGGGCGCAGGTCCTGGAACCCCCACCAGGGAGCTGCTTTTCTCTCCGGCCAAAGTGTTTGCCAGCACAACAAAGGCGCCCTCCCTCCCAGACTCAGCGTGTGGGGAGCACGCTGCTTTGGGCAAAGCCTCCTCCAGGAATACGTACTAAGCACCTACTGTGCGCCAGGCACTGCCAGGCGCGGTCACAGGGGTTGGTTATGAGCACCCAGTGCGCACCAGGCAAGGGCTTGAGTGCTTTCACCCGTTTTCTCACCCGAGGCTCCTGGTAGCTGCTCAGGGTCCGCTTGGCTGTCCCTATTCTACAGATTAGAAGACTGAGGCTGGGAGGGAGCAGAGCTGGGACATGAGCCAACCAATCCTCACTGCCACTCTGAGCATCTTTAGTTTTATTCACTTATTTAAAAAAACATATACTTTATTGATTTTTTTACAGAGAGGAAGAGAGAGGGATAGAGAGTTAGAAACATCGATGAGAGAGAAACACCAATCAGCTGCCTCCTGCACACCCCCCATGGGGGATGTGCCCGCAACCAAGGTACCCATGCCTTTGACCGGAATCGAATCTTTCAGTCTGCAGGCTCTATCCACTGAGCCAAACCGGTTTTGGCTATTCACTTATTTAAAAATATTTTTTTACTTATTGCAGAGACAGAGAGAGAGAGATAAATATCAGTGATGAGAGAGAATCACTGATTGCTGCCTCCTACACACTGGGGAACTAGCCTGCAACCTGGGCCTGTGCCCTGCCTGGGAATTAGACCATGATCTCCTGATTCCTAGTTGACGCTCAACCACTGAGCCACACTGCCAGGCATTTTCCCCCTCTGACCACGGGTCGTTAAAAGCACCCTGGCCTGGCAGCGGCGAGGAAGCTGCAGTGCGCGTGGGGTGGGGCACGCAGACACGGCGCACCCATCGCCGAGCCCCTTCTGGCGCCATACATGCAGCAGCCGAGCGCTTTTGCAGGTGACTCAGCTCACCTGATTCTCAGCCTCCCTGAGAGCTGGGGTGACCGAGGTCAGAGGGCGATGGACGTTAGAGGAGTGACCCCGGACTGGGTCTGGCTGGCTCCATGGCTAGAGGCTTTTTGGTTTGACCCTCAAGTGTTTAAGACTCGGTTTTAAGTTTGACGCTTTGAGCAGCTAACGTAGGCGCGGGTCCAGAACCCGAACCGGCTGCACCGGAAGGCGTCCTGGAGGAGGAGCCCTGGCCTCTGTGTGCTGGGGGAGGGGAGGAGGGGGCGAGGATATGCTATGGAAGGCTGGCGAGGCATCCCGTTTCCCCCTCCACGCCTCCCCCCCCTGGGGGGGGCAGGCAGCACCCTCTGCCCTCTGGTCCGGCCCTCGCATAGGAAGGGGAGATGTTCTGAACACCCCAAATAAACACCAGACTCCCCTTGCTGTGACCTCGGCGGCATTTGAAGGTCTGGGAGGGCCGTTAGGGGTTTCTGTAGCTTCTGCATTGGAGGGGAAGCCTGGTGGGTGTGAACCGGTGGGGAATGGCTGGGGGCCCCATAGCCTGGCTCTCCCCTCCCTTCCCCTCCCTTCCTCCCCCCGCGACCCGCCGCCTCTCCCCTCCTCAGGCTGGAAATGTGTCCTGCATCTCTCCCGCGTGTCCTCCCGGCCCCTGTCAGACCTCCCCGGAGTCGGACTGCTGCCCCTGTGCTCCAGGTGAGTGACTGGGTGGGGGTGGGCGGGAGAAAGGAGCTTGTTAGTGTGTTCTGGGGAGATGTGTCTTTTGAGTGTATTTTTGGGGGCGAGGTGAGTGGAGGAGAGAGGAAGGGATTGACTTCTGCTCAGACACTCAGATCAGGAGAAACATTTCAAACTGCCTGTTTTAGTTGAGCACCGACTACATACTCAGTGGTTTGGTGCTAGACTGGGCTCGAGGCCTGGCCTGCCCTCTGGCCCCGGAGGCACCTCCAACACAGGCAGACGGGGTGGAGCCCACGATGGAGAGGGGCCTGGACTTCCCCACTGCCGAGCTGGTCCTTTCTAGAAAGTTTGTTCTGGTTCCCGGGATGACCTCATGCCGTCACCGGCATTCCCTGCCGGCTCAGTGCTGTGCGGGCACTTGCCAGACTGTAGGGCACCACCCCAGGGAGCACTGTTTGTAGCTCCATTTCATATTGGAGAAAACTGAGGCTCAGAGAGCTCAAGGCACTGCCTGAAGGCACAGCAGTGAGTACAGGCGCAGAGCTGAGTTGGCATCGTCTTAAAATATTTGTTCTTTTTTTTGTTGTTTTTTTTTAAAGGCTTATCTTTACCTTAAGCAAGCCCTGTAACATGCTTTCTTTTTCTTTCTTTCTTTCTTTCTTTTTATTTTTTTTATTTTTTATTGATTTTCCACAGAGAGAAAGAGAGAGGGATAGAGAGCTGGAAACGTCGATGAGAGAGAAACTGCCTCCTGCAACAGGGATGTGCCCGCAACCAAGGTACATGCCCTTGACCGGAATCAAACCTGGGACCTTTCAGTCCGCAGACCGACGCTCTATCCACTGAGCCAAACCGGTTGTGGCAAAATATTTGTTCTTTTAAATGTTATGTATTGTTTTTAATTGAAACGTCCTTTTGAATAGGCAATGTACTCTTAGGAAGTAGGAACTGTTAGCAACCCCACTGAGGCTCAGCGAGTCACTCCCCGTGGGTCGTGTGGGTGGGATTTGAACCCAGGGCAGCCTGGCTGGTGTCTGCTGGGCCTGGCAGGTTGGAGGCTGCTGTTGCTGTGGGGGTCTTCGGGTGAGAGGCTCTCCCAAGTCCTCCCAGCTCCCCCGGTGTCTGGCCGATCTCTTCCCGTTTCTTCTTTTCTCTTCCTCGTGAGCTCTGGGCTTCCCGTGCCCTTTTGGTGAAGGACGTTTTTACTCGTGGCTCATTCTCTGTCGTTTTTAAGTAATAGCATGTTAGATGTATGTATATGCATTGATTTCAGAGAGGAAGGGAGAGGAAGAGAGAGAGAACCAGCAACAATGAGAGAAAATTGTGGATCGGCTGCCTCCTGCACTGGGGATCAAGCCCACAACCCAGGCATGTGCCCTGACCGAGAATTGAACCCTGACCTCCTAGTTCATAGGTCAGCGCTCAACCCCTGAGCCACACCGGCTAGGCTGTGATAGCATATGTTTTGTTGGGGTGTGGGGGGGGGAGAAGTGAGTGGGGTTCTGGGCCATGGGCTATGCTGTGGAGTGCTGTGGGAGTGCCAGCCTCCCCGAGCTCCCCGCCATTGCTCCCTTTTTCTTCATCTGCCCCCACCCACGGGCCTTGAGCGGCTTCTCCCTTTCCTCTCTGCAGGGAGGTGCCATTTCCAGGGCCGGTGGCATGCAGACGGGGCCGTGTTCAGTGGGGATGACGACCAGTGCACCACCTGTGTCTGCCAGGTGGGGGCCGACGTGGGGGTGACGGGAGGGCGCAGGGCCCGGCCCTGACCCAGGCTGCCTCGGCCAGGAGGAGAGACGCTGGCCCGCAGAGAAAGGGAGACCGAGGCAGCAGCGGGCTCAGGGACCGGCCCTCGCCAAGGCCTCCCGCAGGCTCCTTGAGGTTCATCCATCGGCAGGGATATGTGTAGAGCCATGCTGAGCGCTGGGGACACAGCCAGGTGCTGACAGCCCAGTCCCTTCTGTCGAGGGCCCACAGCCTCAGTGGGCGGTGGGCAGGTGACCAAGCTCCTAGCCAGACTGCAGGCTCCGGGAAGCCTTCTTGGAGGGGGATGCTAAGGCCAGACCCGAGGAGGCTGTAGGCGGGTGCTGTTAGGTTGGGCCTGGGGCGAGATTCTCCTGTAGGTGATGTTCTGAGGGAGCGCTCCGAGGAGAATGGGAGAATGGGTGAGGGGAGCAGGAGCAGGATAGGCAGGGAGGGAGCCAAGTGCAGCCACGAGAGGCTCAGGCTGATGCCCGGGGGCCAGAGTGTGCATTCCCTGCAGCGATTGGCGATGGAGATGGGATGGGATGGAATGGGCGATGGGATGGGATGGGGATGGGATGGGCGATGGGATGGGGGATGGGATGGGATGGGTGATAGGACGGGATGGGATGGGATGGGATGGGTGATAGGATGGGATGGGGGATGGGATGGGATGGGATGGGATGGATGATAGGATGGGATGGGGGATGGGATGGGATGGGATGGGATGGGATGGGTGATAGGATGGGATGGGGGATGGGATGGGATGAGGATGGGATGGGGATGGGGTAGGTGATGGATGGGTGATGGGATGGGATATGGGATGGGATGGGTGATGGGATGGAAGATGGGATGGGATGGGGGATGGGATGGGTGATGGGATGATAGGATGGGCGTGTCAGAGCCTGGAGCAATGGTGGCTTGTGTACGCTCCTTGGTTCCCCAGGGAGTTGGGGCCAAAGGAGCCATTGGCACCTGGAAGACATGGTGCTCATTGGCCAAGGGCAGTGCCCAGGGGAAGGAGCCTGTTGGGGGAAGGTGGGGGAAGCTGATAGCCTTGGCCTCAGACACAGTCGTGAGAGGCTCTGCCAGCCGGGCCAGGGCCTGGGGCTTGGCGACGCTGCTGGCCATTTAAGTGGTGGCCCGAGCAGACCAGGTTGGTGTGTGGGAAGTTGTCTGTCTGGCTGCAGAGGGAGAGCAGGTCAGCAGCGCAGGAGGCAGGGAGCCTGCGCAGACACTGCCTTGCAGAGTGAGGGGTGGGCTGCTGGTGGCTGTGGCCCTGCGGGCAGGGGACCCTCCAGATGAGCAGCTGGCACATTCCCAGCCCTTTCCCCCCCCAGGACATGCCCTGCCTCCCCCTTGCTCCCTGGAGTTTTCTGTCGCTTTAGGAGGGGATGGCGGCTCCCTTCTCAGCCCTCCCTGGCCCAGGCGGGGAGCTGCCCTCACTGGCTATGCCCTCCGGCTTTCTCCAGGACGGGGAAGTGGAATGTGCCTTCACTCCGTGCCCGGAGCTGGACTGCCCCCGAGAGGAGTGGTGGCTGGGCCCGGGGCAGTGCTGCTTCACCTGTCGGGAGCCCGCGCCCAAGACAGGTGAGCGCCCGGCCAACTGGCCGACCGTTCCTCCCGGGGCTGTGCCAGCACAGGCCTGAGGGGATGGCTGAGCTTCACCCTGGGCTCAGAGTACCTGTGTGTGTGTGTGTGCCTGTGCCTGTGTGTGTGTGTGTGTGTGTGTCTGTGCGGGTGGCTTCTCTGTGTGGATGTGTGTTCACGGGTGCACATGTGAGGTGTGTTGGTGTGATGGGCCTGTGTACACTCACGAGGGTGCCGGGCAGGGTTGAGTGTATCCCCTCGGAGCGGCGTGCATGGCCTGGATGAAAGGGGCGTCTGTCCTTGCTGGGGGGCTGGAGACCCACGTGTCCTCCCTCGCTGTCCCGGCCAGGCTGCTCGCTCGATGACAACGGGGCCGAGTTTCCGGTGGGACAGATCTGGTCGCCCGGTGACCCCTGTGAGTTATGCATCTGCCAGGTGAAGACAACCTGCGCGCCTCCAGCTGCTTTCCGGCTATATCTCTGCCCCCGCGCCCCCAGCGAACCGCCCCTCCCCCAGTCCTCATGGCCCAGGCTCCCTGCCCTCCAGAAGCTGGAGCTGGGCTGCCTCAGGCCCTCAGCCTGTCCCCGCCCCGTCCACTCCGTGTTGACAGGAAGGGCTGTGACTGGCATGTGCTGACCCTGGAGACTCCTCGGCACAGGCGCTGGGCATCCCCTTGGCGGGGTCGGGGAGGGCGGGTCCCCAGGCACAGGCGAAGGAGGGCCCTGCCGCCAGGGGTGCAGGCCTTTCCTGTGAGTGAGTGTCGTTGCTGGTATGAAGCGTGTGGCCACGTCGCCTCCGAAACGGCGAGGAGAAGGGGCTGGAGGCCAAGGGCGGGTGGCTGGACGTGCAGACACATTCGCCCTGAGAAGCGACCGTGCGGGCTCCGTGTCTCAGTGCACCGCTCCCTCTGCTGCGGGAGCCAGGCCCTTACCTGTGTGCACAGCGGCCCCGCACCATGGGCTGAGGGCGTCACCCCGGCCTGGTGGGGCAGCCCCCCCCATCCTGACCTGCTGCTCAGACCGCCTCCTGCAGCGACGGGGTGACGGGTGTGCACTCCGACGTGCCGAGTGTGAAAGGCCTTAGACCCTTACGGACACGGAGGTGCCATTGGGGTCGGAGTGGGGTTATGGGGAAGTCACTCGAGAGGTTCATGGGCACTCAGGTGCTTAGGGGACAGAAAGCCGACAGGGCACTTGTCTTCTGACATAGACACCTGGGGGGGTAAGTAAAGGGGGTTTTACTGCACTCCATGGGTGGGGTGACCCAGGGGCCCAGGGCGATGCCAAGGGCAGAATTGGGGCTCTCACTCCTTCCCAAGTCGTGGGTCCTCTTTGTGGGAGACTAGCCCCCTCCCAAAAACGCCATCAGGGCGTTTTTGCAGCCTTGCCCTCTTTTGGGGGGAATGGAGACTGGCGGGATCACAGTTGGGGTCTCGGTGAAGTTTTTCGTCCCTCAGGCAGATGGTTCCGTGAGCTGCAAGCGGACAGACTGCGTGGACTCCTGCCCTCACCCCATCCAGATCCCGGGACAGTGCTGCCCGGACTGTTCGGCAGGTAATCCCCCACAGGCAAAGGCTCCTCCGTGTGGAGCACTGCACAGCCGTCCAGGCCATCCTTACAACTGCCCAGTGGGCAGCCCCATTTCATAGATGAGGAAACTGAGGCTCAGAGATGTGAACTTGCTCATAGCAGGCCCTGACCGGGTGCTGGAGGCAGATGGGGAGATGTGCCCAACCTGCAGCCTAGGCGGGTGGCGAGGGGCCAGACCGGGGCCAGTGCAGGGCCAGTGAGCGCGGGAGAGTGGTAGTTCACTCACAGAAGCTTCTCCCTTGTTTCAGAAGGAACAGCTCAGCGTAGGGCATTTAGAGCACACAGAGCAGAAATAACCAAGTGAAGAAGGGCCGGTTACCACTCTTAAATCTCATGGCTCTGTTTTCCTAGTCTCTTGGTGATATACTATCTACGTCTATGTCTAACATATCCATAATATACACCTCTACCCAACATACACTAGATACGTTATATATATTCCCTTTAAAATACTTCCCTACTGTCTCATCCCCTGCTTTTTTACCTGCTAGTGTGAGGTAAGTATGATCAAGGTTTCATGTGCATGGGGCCTCGGGGGAAGGGGGAGGTGCGGAGGAATGTTCTGGAAGGTGGGGTTTGGGTTCGGCTGGAGGGCATGGCTGCGGCAGAGGCACCAAGTTTCTCCTAGGCCTCTGTCCTGTGCACCGGGTGAGGGGTAGAGGAGGAAGCGCCTGACCCAGGGGCTGGGCTAGGGGACCCCATGTGACCCCTCTGCCGAACCTGTGTGCTGTCCCTGCCCCAGCCCCTGGGGCAGCTTCGCCAGGAGCAGCTGGCCTGTCGCTCCCCAGGGAAGCATTGACCTTTGCCCTGGCAGGAGCGGGGTCCCCGGCCACCCCTCTGCTCCCTCCCACTGTGGCGCTCACTGCATGCCTCTCCGCAGGCTGCACCTACAGAGGCAGGATCTTCCACAACAACCAGACCTTCCCATCCATGCTGGACCCGTGTCTGAGCTGCATCTGCCTGGTACGGCCACCCAGCTGCCCGTCGGCGAACTCGCGGGGGTGCCCCAGCTCCTGACCCCAGAGACCTCAGGAGCAAGGTCACTGCTGGGTCCTGGCGGTGTGGCCCCTCAACCTGCCCAGCACTACCCAGGGCCAGGGGACGGTCCACCTGCCCTGATAAAGCCCTCTGCCCTGGCGACCGGGGCAGGGATTCTCCGGGGGCCCGGGCTGCGGCCCTTCTCTGCTCACACAGAGGGCCAGGCTGTGGCTCTGCAGCCTCGGCCTCCAGATCTGGCATTCTGCACCTGCCACCCCGCTCTCAGCCCTGGGCAGCAGGAGCTCAGTCCGAGGGAGAGTCCAGCGGGAGGAGGGGAGGTGGGCACCACTACTGGCTCCATCTGTGAGTGGGAAACCGAGGCACAGAGACGGGCATTTGCTCAGGCCCCGCAGCTGGTGAGCTCAGTGCCAAGAGCTGAATCCCCATACTCGGCATCTGGGCTGGGAGCGCACGTCTGCCCAAACCATCTGCCCCTCTGCCTGAAAGGTGTGTGGTGGCCGGGCCGTTAGTGCTTGGTGAAAGGGAACCCCCGTTGCTGTCAGGCCCAATGGGTGGAGTGCCCAGGGAGCTTTGCTGGGGAGGGAGGGGCCTGATGCTGTGTGGGAAAGGGCGGGGCCTGTGGAAAGGGGCGGGGCCTGCAGAGAGGTTGAAAGACCATCTCTGGCCTCCAGTGGCCACGTGCTCTCACAGTGTTTACATCGGGAGCTTCGGCCTCCGGGCCCCCCTGCTGGGGTTCGGGTGCTCACTCTCCTGGGCAGTTCATGGATTTGCTCCCCTGTTGACAGATGAGCTCTGTGCACAGGGCCTTGCCCTTGGCCTGTGGGGCTTGCATTTCAGCGCGAAGACAGACTCTGACTGAGCCACCCATCCCCGCCCCCACTCCCTCCACGGCTCTCTCCTCTGACCTCGGTGGTTCTGGTGGCCACTCAGTGGCTGCGTTACCTGTCCTCCGGGTGTCCCACCAGTCCCCGGTCGAAGGGCCTGTTTTGTGTCCTGCAGCTGGGCTCCGTGGCCTGCTCGCCCGTGGACTGCCCCATCGCCTGCACCTACCCTTTCCACCCTGACGGCCAGTGCTGCCCCGTGTGCCGAGGTGAGTGGGATCCGTGCCCGCTCGCGGCTCCGGGCGGGCCTCCGCTCACGGCCTCTCCTCTGCCCCTGCAGACTGCAACTTCGAGGGACGGAAGGTGGGGAACGGCCAGGTGTTCACCCTGGACGATGAGCCCTGTACCCAGTGCACGTGCCAGGTGGGCTGCTCCCCGGGGCTGCTGCTGGCCCTGGTCCCTTTGCAAAACTGAGGCCCTTAGCCCGGGTGAGCCCCTCCCCTCCCGCCCGTCTTCCACTTGGGCACCTGCCTGCATGTCTTTGGAGGTGACCTCCCTCTGCGGTTTCGTGAGGTGTCGCTCTGCAGCCTCGGGCTCCGGATTTTGCCGTGTGTCGGTCCCACGGCCGGTGCAGCAGGCCTTGGGGGGCTGCTCTGGGCGGGCGGGGTGCTCTGGGCGTCCTCACCTGTGCCCTCTGCTTCCCCAGCTGGGAGAGGTGAGCTGTGAGAAGGCGCCCTGCCCGACTGCCTGTGCGGATGCTGCCTCGCCCCCTGGGAACTGCTGCTCCTGCCCAGGTACGAGAGCCATGGGTCCGAGTCTCCCTCCCCCCTCTCCCACCTCCCCCCCACCCGTCCTCTTCCTATGGACACGGAACTCGTGGCGCAGGCTGTGGAACCCCAGGCTCTGCGAGGGGATGGGGCTTGCTCGAGGCCACATGGCCAGCGCCCGGTGAGCCCCGCTGGGGACCGCTGTGTGACAGGGTTGTTTGCCCCCCATGCCCTGGCTTCTCCAGAGTCTCCTTCCTTAATTGCTTCCTCTGCTTTCCGTCTTTTTGGGAAATTAGAACTCAGGGACTGAACCCCTTTGCAGAGGGCTCCCTGCGAATATGTATTGAGAGCTCCACGTGTCCGGGACCTCCCGGCCTTTCCCGGCCGCTGAGGTGGGCGCTGCCATCACCCCCGTTTCCCAGGGGAGGCGGCGAGGCACAGGGAGGGGAAGTGAGCGCCCGAGCACGGCCTGTGGCTGCAGAGCCAGGAGTGGAGCGTGGAGTCCGTGCTCAGCTCCCGAGCTCTCTTGACTCCTGGAGTTATTCTCACCTGTTTGCCTTCCTCTATCGTCAGTGTTCGCCCACGTGGTCACTTTCTCGGGTGTAAAGGGGAGACAGGCCGCCGCCGGGTGCACAGGCTTCACGTGGCCCGGGCTGTCATTTGAAAAGCTCCCAGTTGTCCATCTGCTCACTGCCGCCTTTTGTTGGCTGTGTCCATGGCTCCTTCCTCTTTTTCTGTCTGTAATACACGCACTATGAGAGCAGGCACCATGTTGGTGGGTCCTCGGAGCGGCCCTGTGCGCCCATTTCACAGATGAGGAAGTGGAGGCCTGGGCAGTCATGTGCCACATGCCATCAAGGCCAGTGCGTGGTATGGCCTCTGTCTGCTCTCCTCCGGCTGGTCCTCACCGGGGTTCAAGGCTTGGGAGAACGGAGCCCAGGCCCGGGCCCTGTGCAGCACCCAGAGCTGTCTCAGCTGTCGGAGAGCCACTGTGTCAGTTTGCCCCTCTCTCTAGATTCCCTGGAGGATGGGCAGGAGCCGCCCCCTCCTGCAGACACGGCCCTGAGTCCCCGTGGAGCCCCCCAGGACCCTGCCACCTGCAGCTCCTGCCCAGGGCCCCTGGCAGCCCAGCCTCAGCAGCCCACACCCTACTTCCTCCAGCTTGTCCTGAGAACCAACGTGTCCAACCTGCAGACTTTGTCCCGGAGCCCCTCAGGAAACCAGGCCTCCCCACCACCCTTCGACGGACCCTCCCTGGGGCCTCCCACCCCCCCAGGAGCCTCCTCTCTACCTCCCGCCTCTCCCGGGGCTCCCGCTACTCCGGAGCCTTCAGCCACGGCCTCTGGGGCCCACACAACGTCCAGGTGGCCTGCACTGCCCCCTGCCGTCCTGCTGGGGGCTCCAGCCCTCTCCACGGCAGACCCGAGCCCCCCAAAGGCCCCCCCCACCCGCCATGGCCTCTCTCCCACCACCTCCGGACTCTCTGCGGTGACCGTGACCGCCAGCCCTGGCGCCCTGCAGCCCCCAGCCACGATTGCGAGTGAAGAGGGGCCCGCTGGGTGAGGGACCTCCACAGAGGGCCACTGGGAGACGCACCGAGGGAGCCACTGGGGCCAGCGAGGGCCACTTCCTGGGGCTTCCAGCCGTGGGACATCCTTGGGGCTGACAGCCTGTCTCCCCGCTTCCCTGGAGCATGTGGGAAGCCTGAGAACCAGCCTGTCCTGGCAGCGGCCTCTCTCCTGTCTTTGGGAGAAGGCTGGACTTCCCGCTCTGCAGGAGGAGGGTCAGCGGGCCCTGATGCCACTGGGATTGGCACCGTGTGGCTGCCCTCCCCAAAGTTTCCTAATTAAAGGCTGCCTCAGTTTCCCCACTGCCTGCACATTAACTTCTCGCCTCGGAAAAGTGGGAGACCTCCCCCCATGCCCACGGGTGGGAAATGGTACCCCTCCAGCCTCCAGCTGGAGAGAAAAGCCGGCCTGAACTGGGGCTGGGGGGTCGGTGTAAGGCCCGCAGGCCTCTGTCGCCGGGAGACCTCTGTGGAGCAGGGGAGGCGGATGGAGGGCGTTGCAGGTGCCTGGGGACCTAGGGGGAAGTGGCAGCAGGCACCGGTGGAGGCAGGAGAGGGGACACCCCCAGGCTTGGCCAGCCCTCTGGGAGCCCAAGGCTGCGTGGCCGTGTAGCGTTGTGCTGAGGCAGGCCGAGGGAGTGGCTGTGTGTCCCCATGTCTGCCCTGGCCGCCCAGCAAAGCGGTGAGCGGTCATTCGCCCCGGCAGCTCCCTGAGCTGGGCGGTTCCTGGTGAGGCTGATGGCCCAGCGCTGCAGCTGCACTAACCCGCAGCGGGTCCCTGGGGTGGGGTGCTGCGGCCAGGCTTCCATGACAGGTGGGAAAAGGCCGTGTGTCATTAACAGGTTCGTCAGACACACGGGGCGGTGCTTCAGAGTGAGGTCTGGGCGCCCTGCTCAGTAGCCACCTGCCGAGGGACTCGGGCCCAGCACCCTCGTCTGCAGGGTGGGGCCTCCCAGCGGAGTTGTGGTAATGCCTCCGCATGTCTCGGTGGCTTGTGACCCTGTGCAGCCTCCTGCTCTGCTCCCGGGACCCCACGCAGAATGGAAGTGCAGGGCCCTGGCTGTCTCCTTCGCTGCCTCCGTGGGGGTTTGTCCGCCAGGCCAGCTGCCACGTGGCAGAGGCTCACAGCACCTGTTTCCTCGTCGCTAAACCAGTTCAATCGAAGGCACATTCATGTTTTAATACTATCCTCCCCCCAATAGAACCCCAGTAAACAGTGTTCATTTCTGATAATAAAAAAATGTGTGGGAGCCCAGTCGGTTTGGCTCAGGGGATAGAGCATTGGTCTGCAGCCTGAAGGGTCCCGGGTTTGATTCCAATCAAGGGCACATACCCGGGCTGTAGGCTTGATCCCTAGTGGGGGGCATGCAGGAGGCAGCTGGTCAATGATTCTCATCAATGATGTTTCTATCTCTCCCTTTCCCTTCCTCTCTCTGAAATCAATACCATATATATATATATATATATATATTTTAAAAAAAGTTATAAAGAAATTATGTGGCAAAGGGAGACAGGAGGACAGCTGTAAACATTCCACCACTTTGGCCCACTGCCACGTGGCAGAGGCTCACATCTGAGACCTCCGTGGCCCAGAGAGTCAGGAGAGGACCCAGCGGCACTCCCGGCGCGAGGTGCGAGAACCTGCATCCGGGAGTTCTGGGTTCCAGGGGCCAGTGGAGAGGGACCCGTGCGGGGAGGAGAACCCTCGGGGACAAGAGTGGATGGGAAGGATGGAGTGAGCTGAGCGTAGTCCTCGCTCAGCCCCGGGGAACAGAGAGTGAAGAGCAGAGAAGAGTGATGAGTGAAGATGAGGGAGAAAAGCAACGTGAGTTTGTCTTATCCTGCGGAGCTACGTGGGAGCTGTCAGACCAGAGATGCCCTGCGGGTCTGCTTAACGGGGAGCCTTTTCAGATCGGTCTGCAGCCAGGAATCCCAGGGGGAGGGAACGGAATGGAGCGGGGCTGGGAGGAGAGGCCGAGCTGCTGCTGGCGGAGTGAGGATGGGGAAGGAGGAGGCGTGTGACCCGGAGCGGGACGGAAGGGTCCGGGAAGACCTGCCTGAGCCCCCGGAGCCTAGCCCACGGCCTGGCCTCGAGCGGGTGCTCGGGAAATGTCGGAGATGCCAATTGCCAGGGCGCTGTGAAATTCCTCCCTGAAATCTGAGAGGCGCACCTGTTGGTCTCATGACCAAATATGACCGGACAGAATGCCAGTGGGGTGGGCGCTGACCCCCCTGATGTAGGCCTGGCTCCAGTGGCGGCAGATCCACTCTTTCGTCCTGTCCGAATTGTTTCCTCCTAAAACATTACCTCAGATTCATCTCTCCGTTCACATCTACTGCGTGCCAGGCCTCGGGGCTCCAGCAGTTACGCGATCACAGTCCCGGCCCTGGCAGATGAGAAGCAGGCACCCCTGCGAATGGTCGTGCCCAGAGCAGTGAGGCCATCGTCTTTCCTGAGGATTGGAAAGTGCGGAGGGCTCCCCAGGGGTTAGTCCTAATTGGCCAGCTGAGCAGGAGCAGCCTGGCAGATGCTGTCACCCCTCCAGGCAAGACCTCCCTGTCTGGCCTGCTTAGGAATGCCACCGTCCGTGGCCACCTGTCCTCAGTCCCTCTCTTTCCTCTTGGTCTTATTGGCTTTGGGAGAAATGAGAAGTCAGGTTCCTTAACCAAGACCTTAGGTGCCCTGTTCCACGGGGAGGCAGTGGCTTGGCATTTCTGGTCCCCAAGTCTTAATTTTTATTTATTTGTTTGTTGGTTTCCATTTATGTTGGCTGGAAGGGAGAGGGAGAGACACAGAGACATATCGATTGGTTGCTTCATGCACACACCCTGACCAGGGCCGGGGAGCCTGCAGCCAAGGTTCCTGCCTGTGACGGAAACTGAACGGGAAGTGCACGGGAGGACACTACATGCATGGCCAGGGCTTGCCTCCTTATCTCTTTATTTTTTTTAATTTTTATTATTATTTTTTTTTGCCAAGGTAAAGAATTTTTATTTGAATTAATAAATGATAATTAAAGCCAACATATACATGTTAATGGGAAATGTGTGTATAAGTGAGTGTTTCTGGCCCTTGGAAAAGTATGTCCTTGCAGTTGTGCGAAGCATGGAGCAGGTAGAAAGAGGAGCAGAGAATGCCTCTTACTCAAGTTCCTTAAAGAGCTTTAAAACAGGAGCCAAAAATAGACTTAAGCCCCCCTTGCTCCCTATTTCCTTCCACCATCTGTCAGCCCCACTCCCCTGGGGAGAAGCTAAAGCTGACAGCAGCAGAGTGAAGGAACAGGGGTGTGGGTGCCTCCTTAACCCTTTAAATGGAGGCGGAAGTGACTCCCACGTCTTCCCTCGACCCCCACGTCTTAACGCGTTGCCCCCACATTCTTCACACGATGCTCCCACATCTTCCCTTGACGTTCCCACGTCTTCACACGATGCCCCAATGTCTTCCCTCGACGCCCCCATGTCTTTTCCCGATGCCCACACGTCTTCCCTTGACGCCCCACGTCTACACATGACGCCCCCACGTCTTCCCTCGACGTCCCTACGTCTTCCCTTGATGCCCCCACGTCTTCCCTTGACGCCCCCACGTCTTCCCTCGACGTCCCTACGTCTTCCCTCGACGCCCCCACGTCTTCCCTTGATGTCCCTACGTCTTCCCTCAACGCCCCCACGTCTTCACGTGACGCCTCCACGTCTTCACGCGATGCCCCCACGTCTTCCCTTGACGCCCCCACGTCTTCCTTGACACCCACACGTCTTTCCTCGACGCCCTCACGTCTTCCCTCGACGCCCCACATTCACGCGACGCCCCATGTCTTCACGCGACGCCTCATGTCTTCACGCAACACCCATGTCTTCACGCGACGCCCCATGTCTTCACGTGACGCCCCCGCGTCTTCCTTCGACGCCCCCACGTTCTTCACGCGAGGCTGCCAGCGGCGCCTGTCAGGACCTGTTTGCCGTCAGGGCTCCACCTGGCGTGTGCGCAGCCAGCTCACCGCGCCATTGCCGTCCAGTGAGCATGGCCACCCCTGACCCCTGCCCTGTGTCCTGACCCCGGACCCAGTGACGCGAGGAGCAATACCAACGAAGAGAAGCAACTCCACAAAACGTTTCGGCGAGGTTAGGTTTTATTCTACATTGTCGGGGCGACCCCAACGCGAGGGAGACCCCTGAGGAGAGTGCTCTTCCCTTGGAGCGGGCGCAGACCCGGCCCGGGGCTCCGAGAAGCAGCCGAAGACGGGGCTCAGGCCACGGGAGCCAGGCCGACGCGGTTGTTGCCCCGGTCGAAGACGGCGAAGTACTGGCGGATGAACACGTCGCCCAGGATCCAGAGCTCCCCGCTGTCCGTGGGGATGTCCATGCCCTGGAAGCCGCTGGTGCAGCCCTGCTGGCTCTGGAGAAAAGAAGACGGAGAGGAGCGGGGACGGACTCAGCGGGAAGGCGCTGGGCCGAGCCCGGGGGCGCGGGGCGTGGGGGAGCTCCGGGCTGAGGAGGCCGGCGCTGTGGCCCGGGTCTGCCGCGTGAGCTGCTCCCTGCACGTCCATTTCCGGTTTCCGGGAGCACAGACCCTGCCGTCAGCATCGGAGCCGAGGCGGGAGCGAAAGCTGCCGGGAGGGCTTGGGAAGCTTTTTCTCATCACCGGATCGCCGGCCAGCCAGGCCCCCTGCCAGCCCGTGGTTCACAGGGCGCTGGGCTGCCGCCTGCGCAGTGAGGGCACCTGGGCGCTTGGAGAAAGCCCTGCCCAGGCCCTGCCCTGTGGTGAAGCAGCATCGCCGACATCCACCCTCTGGACAAGCCGGCCCCGCCCCTGGCTCCACAGGACAAGGTAAAGGCTCTTCCTGCGCCGTTGGCAGGGGATTGGTAGGCCGTAGAGGTGGTAGGAGCGTCCTAGCCCGGCCCCGGTGAGTCGGATCTTCATTTGCTCAGCCCTTGAGGGCCGTCAGGGGTTCGTCTCCCAGGCTCTCCTAAACCACACTCGGATCAAGGGCCGTCACAGAGACCCAGGCCCAGCCAAAACCTTTCTCGCTACCGTCCTTGGCCTTGCTTCTCCTCTTGGGAAGGCTGTATCCAAGTTCTCCGTCACGAGTTTATTGTTAGGACGCTCTCCCTCCCCCTCTCTTTCCTCCTCTCTCTCTCTCTCTCTCTGTCTCTCTGTCTCTCTGTCTCTCTCCCTCTCTCCAGAGCACTGTTGGCTGCGACCTGTGCAGGCACTTGCCCTGACGGAGTGAGGGGACAGGCGCATCCTGTGCTGGGGCCTTACCTGCAGGACGTAGGCGCTTGGCGGCAGGGGGTACTGGACTCCGTTGATGGTGAAGACAATGTTGGGCAGGGTGTTGATGGCTGCGCAGCTGACCACCATCTGGGGCAGAGAGAGCAAGAGTCAGAAGGGCCGCATCTCTTGTGCATGGCAGAACCCCCCACTCCCCCGGTCCGTGCCAGGGCCATCAGGGGGCTTACCTCGCCGTAGGAATTCTGGTGGGCGCCGATGGAGCTCTGGATGTTGGCTATGGCTTTGGTTGGGCCAGACAGCAGAGAGGTGCCTGTGTCGACAATGGCCTGGCAGCCCTCACTGCAGGCGATGGCCTCTCCATTCATGGTGATGCTGAGGGCGAGGCAGCAAGGGGTCTCCTTAGCCCCCAGGGAGCACATCTCCCGAGGAGCCAGGTGACTCCAGCGGGCCCTCGTCCCCATCCTTCAGCCAGCTTCTCTCAGTCATGCAGGTGCTCATGTATGTGCTCCTGCACTCGCACCTGCGACTGAGCCTACTCCGTGCCAGGCACAGGGGATGCAGAGCCTAACCAGGCAGCCACATGGCTCGGGGAAGCAGACACCCAAAGGTTACCCAGGAGGTGACGAGCTGAGGGGGGCGTCTCAGGCTGACGGCAGGCAGGGGGAGGGGCGGAGACCAGAGGAATAGGCGGGAGCGGAGGGACTGATGGCGGTTAGCACGGCAGGGACAGACGGAGGTGACCAGCTGGCGCATCTTGGTTCAGGACTGTCCTGGTTGGAGTACTGAAAGTTCTCGCATCCCAGGCCCTGCTCACACCTGGGCAAACCTGGGTGACTGGTCACCCCTGCAAGCCAGCCGGGCCAGGACAGCTGGGGGTGAGGCTGCTGGGGCCGGGGCAGGCCCTGAAGTACAAGGGGACAGGGGGGTCTGAACTCTTCTGCCATTTGCCCCGTCACCGGGCTAGAGGATATTTTCCCGAAAGTGGGAGGCGTGTGCTGGTTCCCAGGTCCCTAAACGCTGGGGGGTGCACAGCCAGGTCCACCAGACTCCCTGGGTACTGGTAGATTGTCCTGCCTCTGTGACCAGGAGGTAAGGGGTTGCCCCATCCTGGCAGGGTTTGGGGGTCTCTGGCAGCTCCCCTCCTGCAGGGAGGTGCCTTTCTCGGGTCTCTCTGGCTTGGCCACCCCCAACTTCCCCTCCTGGGAGACATCTCCCTGTGTGGCCATTCCTCTGGCATTCTGGGAAGCTTAGTGACTGTGCGTCTATAGAGCGATAGGACTGGAGGGGGCCGGCCACGGTGCGCTCACCTGTCCACGGTGATCTGCCAGTACGTCTCGGAGGACAGAGGCACCCAGTTGAGGGTTCCGGTGTAGTAGGAAGAATCGATGCCCCCGAACATCACCACGCTGCCACTCTGGCCATTGCTGTGCCACGTGGGGAGGAAAAGACAGGAATGCATTCTTCCCATCATTCCCTCCGAGGGACATACACTCTGGGTCTTCCAAAAGCTAACTTTCCCCTTCCTTCCTCGCTGTGGAATTTTGGCCTCTGTTTAAGTGGATTTATTTGGGCTGAGGAGCCATGCGGCAGGCAGGGTTTCTCTGAATCCTATTACATGAAGGGCCATGCCATGGTCACTAGGCTTATTATTATTATTTCCACTTTGCAGAGAGTCACAGAGAGGCGAAGCAGCTTGCCCAAGGTCACACAGCAGGGAGCGCCAGAACCTAGATGGGCACCCAGCTCTTTCTGGTTCCCGTGCTAAATGAACCCAGGATGGTGTTTGCTCTTGAGGACTCGACAGTGTAGCTCTCATCCTCAGCCATGGGCACTGTCCCTTCCCCACCCCCTGGGACATGGGCCAGTTTCTGGAGGTGTTTTGATTGTCATGATGGGGTGGGGAGGGGGTGTCACTGGTGTCTAGGAAGTGGAGGCCAGGGAGGCTGCTAAACACCCTACAAGGCACAGCACAGCCCCCGGCGGTCAGGGGAGGGGGGATTGGGCCCAAAGTGTCCACGGGGCCCAGCTGGCGTGGCTCTGTGGTTGAGCCTCAATCCAGGAATCAGGAGGTCACGGCTCGATTCCTGGTCTGGGCACAGGCTCAGGTTGCAGGGTTGGCACCAGTGGGGGCATGCAGGAGGCAGCCGACCCATGACTCTCATCGTTGATGTTTCTCTCTCTTCCCTTCTCCCTTCCTCTCTGAAATCAATAAAAATATATATATTTAAAATGTCAGTGGTGCTGAGATGAGGAGCTGTGAGAGAGAAGGTGGCCCCATGGGATGGCTCCGGCGCAGGGCCAGGAGGGAAAAGGAAAGGGCCTTCCTGTGCGAAGCGCACTGGTTCTCGTTCCTGGGTGCTCCCTGTCTGCGTCGCAGCAAATCTGGATTAGATGGGGCAGCAAATGGCCACGACAAGGTTAGTCACCAGAGGGTGTGGATGAACTGGTCCCCACTCAGCGGAACCCCCACCTCCGTGGTAAGCAATGGGCAGCCCAGGCGATTCACTGTGTTGTGGCAGGACCCTGAACTAAGCACACATGGGCCGCTCTAACTGCTTCGCGAGAGAAGGTGGGGGTGTCTCGGGAAGCTGCCAGCACCCTCAGGTTTCCTTGCGTAAACCTCTTCTCAGCTCAGACCAATGGTCAGCAAACTGTGGCTCTCGAGCCACATGTGGCTCTATGGTCCCTTGAGTTTTTAGCAAAGGCCAGCTAGGAGTACCCTAATTAAGTTAATAACAATTACCTACCTATATAGTTTAAGTTTAAAAAATGTGGCTCTCAAAAGAAATTTCAGTTGTTGTACTGTTGATGTTTAGCTCTGTTGACTAATGAGTTTGCTGACCACTGGCCCAGACCAACGCCTGGTTCACTCTTAGAAGTAACTCACTGTCACCACGGAAACCTAGATTCTAAATATGGAAGAAGCTGGTCTTCCTCCTTTAACAGCTTCCCTGTTCGAGATTTAAGCCCCAGTCGAATCTTCATCTCCCCATCCCTCAGTGGTTCTTTGCTATGAAGTCTTGGCCCCAATGTTAAGCAGATTCACTTGACTCGGTGGTCCTGGGACTGGTGCCTAGCACAGACAGCTGATGATGCTGGAGTTGTGTAAGCCAAAGCGACAGAGACTCTCACTCGTCAAATCAGAGGTGTGTGTCGGCTGGACACAGGGACCTGGCGCCGTTCTCTCTGCAAATACACCTCTCAGACCCAGACACGGGCCTCCCCATGCCACGCCTGCTAAGACCCTCTGCACCCCCCGCCCCCAACCCCCAGCCCGGGCAGCCCTGCTGGGCCGACCCTGCCCTCCCTGCCCTACTCACGGGCTCAGGTAGACGGAGAAGAGGTCTTGGGAAATCAGCCCCTGGTTCCACATGTTGTCAAAGACAGGTGTGGCCCCTGAGGAGGCGATGCTGGGGTAGGCCAGGCCCAGGATGCCATCGAAGGGCGCATAGTACAGGAAGGAGCCGGGCTCCGTCTTGCTCAGGCCGAAGATCTGGTTGGTGTCGGCGATGCCTGCAACCTGAGTGGGGAGATCAGGGTGTTCCCATCAGCGAGGCCTCTGGCCTGTGTGTGGCGCCAGCGCTGGGCCTGGTGCCTTCGGCTCCTTCCGTGTGGGACTCAGCTCGGGCATCGGCTGGAGAGGCTGAAGGGGACTGTCCCCGGGTGCTTGTTATTCCTCTGAGGTGACCATGGCTGCTGACCTCCAGGTGCCCCCGCTGCGGGTTGGGTGAGAATTTGCTGGGAAGTGGGGTCGCCCTGTGCTTGTGTCTGATGTGCAGATCGAAGCAGACCCCAGGGGGGTCAGAGCCCTTGACCCCTACTGCACCCAGAAGCAGGGAGCTGGAGGAGCTTTTGGACTGGGGGGGGCGGGGGATAAGCTACATTGGAGGGAGGAAGTGCTAAAGGGGAACTGAGCCATTTTTCATGCCCTCCCCCGCCTCTCCCATAGCCCTCAGCCTGAGTGGGGCAGAGGCTGGCTTATGGCTCCAAGCACCACACCCCTTAGCCACTCCTGCCCATCTAGAAATATCAGCCACGTCCTCTCCCCTTCCACCCCCCCAATTTGACTCTGTGATCATGAGACCTATACTGCTGAAGCGAGCTGGTTCTGGGGGCCCCAAAGTCCCTGGGAGCTAGCTCCACGGCGGTGCGGGGGAAGGGGCCCTGTAGGTGCTCACCTGGACCGTGTCGTACCCGAGGATGCCAGTCATGCTGCCGGTGCCATAGGCCACGGACAGCGTCTGGCTGGTGCCCTGGTAGGTGGAGGACTTCTGAGGGTTGAAGCGGTTGTGGTTGGCTGTGTGGGCAAAAAGTGACACTGCTGACCCCCAAAAGCTGACCGAGAGGCAGGGCCGGGGCCTGTCTTCCCGGGTGGGTGCTGGGTGCTGGGAGGGGGATTTGAGAGAAGGGTAACTTTGCCCTAGGTTCTGGGGCCTAGGTATGTCCAGGTTCCAGTTCTGGCTGGTTAGACCAGTTGGGACCATCTTCTGGATGGAGGTTCCCCACTCACCCCACAGTGCCCCCCAGGACACCCCTGCTGAACATGAATGGCCAGGCCCACGGCTGCCCACTTCTCTGCCGTTGGCCTGAATGCCTTGGGTGCAGGGACCCTGTGTCACCCTTTAGCCCCCAGAGCACCTAAGCCCAGTGCTTGGCACATAGTAGGAGCTCAGCAAATCCCAGCAAGTTTGGGATTGGACCTGTTTGCAGCCCCTGTGAGTTCCAGGTCCCCGTCAGTCAGGGCCGGGTCCAGGAGGTGGCACTCACAGCAGGCAGGGCTGGAGCAGTAGACGGAGGGCACCCACAGGTTGGAGGAGCCGGTGTCAAAGATGACGGTGAACTCCTGAGGGGGTGTTCCGATGCCAATGGTGCCGAAGTACTCCACCTGGGGGGCGGGCACAGCTCACAGACCCGGGCTCCCACCTTTACCTCCCTGGCGGCTGTCTCCGGGTTGGCTCCTCAGCCCACCCCCACCTCCCCCTTCACGGTTCTCCTCGCCTTTCTCTCCCTGCTCTATGCCTCTGTCCTGTCTGGCCCAGCGGGTCTCTTAGCCTCGTTGAAGCCCTCTCTGATTGTTCCCCAGTTCCCCTCTGACTGCTCTCCTCCGAGAGCCACTGCCACCTAATAATAGCCTCATCTTGTCTGTCCTCGTCTTGCCACCCTGGGTGACAGCGGGACCCATAGAGTACCCTGTGCTCATCCATTAACGTGTCCTGACAGGTGGGAGCCCTTCACTCTGCCTTTTCCCTAAATCCATAGAGGGCGTCGCCAGGATTGTTATTCGTGGGGTCAGCCACGCTGGTCTTGCTCTTTGCTGATGAGAAGCTCATTCTCACCTCAGGGACATGGTGCTTGCGATTTCTTGTGCTTGGGAAATGTTTATTCTAGGTCTTTCCTTAGCCGACTCCTCAGTCGTTCAGAGCTCTAATCCATGTCACCTCCACCAGGAGGCCCTCCCTGACCACATTGTCCAAGTTTGCCCTCCCTCATTCCTCTCAGTCCCCTCACTCACCCCTTTCCCCCAGTTCATGTCTCTTTGTGTCACGTGTCAGGCCCTGGAATTGTCTTACATATGCATTATTAGTCTCTTATTTGTCTTCTCCTGCCTCGAAACTCCAGGAACTCGGCTTACTCACAATTGTTTTCTCAGCTCCTTGCCTAGCCTCTGGCACGTAGTAGGTGCCTCATAAATTCGTAAGCGAATAAACAGGATGCCTTTCCCAGGGACCAGTCTGTGCTCAATCCTCCAAAAACCTCACTGCTCTGAGCACACGTCACAGCCCTCTGCTGGGAGATGTGAGCTTTGCGGGAGGGAGCGGGGGCTCTTGCCCAAGGTTCCAGGGAGCTGGTGAACCCAGTTCACTCGAGGCTCCTCAGACAGGCAGCGCCGCTGGCGCCCTTTGCTCGGCCATTGCCACAGGCGACACAGCATGTAAGGACGGCGAGGTGGGCAGTCATGTCCCAAATAGAAGAGTCGGAGTGATCTCCCTGTGACCCCACGCTGTCCATGTCAGACACCCCTTAGGGCGTTCAGTCGATCAGGATGCAGGCAGTATCAGAGACTCTGACTGGCTTCTCCCACTGACCCTCGGCCTCACTTTGCACTGCCCTCCCCGTACTCCTCTCACTCTCTGCTCTCTGCAGGCTGCTCCCCGGTGCCACCAGCCCTGACACCACCCTCCTGCTCTCTTCCATCTGCTGGCCCCCTCGTGTTCCCCTCACTGCTCCCCAGAGAAGTCCTGGCCTGTCACCTGCCACTTGCCACCTGGCTCAGTGTGTACCTTCCTGGCAGCCCTTCCCCGGCTGCGCGTGGCTGGAGGGGCGGGGCGCTCAGATCACTGTCTGTCTCTCCCTACCAGCCCAGGGCCCCTGTGGGGTGGGGCTGCGCCAGTGGCTCCCTGCTACTCCTTGGCCCAGCACAGAGCCTGGCTGTTGAGGTGCTCTGTGCAAACTGACAGAGCACGCGTGAACGCAGGGAGGAATGAGTGTGACCTCTTCAACCGCGAGTTCTCCTATGTCCTCCCCGTGCCTCCGAGATCCCGGGAACAGACCCCTGGGTGACGGCCTAGGGGAATCAGAGTCCTCGTCCATCTTCCAAGACCCCCAGCCCCTCACTCCCCCTGGCAAGTCTGGGGAGCCACCCGCCACCTGCCAGGCACTCACGTCCATGTAGTTCTCCAGGGGCTGGGTGGCCATCATGTCGGCCGCCTTGGGGAAGTACTTGCTGGCGGGGTTCAGCTGGTGGTTCTTCAGGTAGTCATTCAGGAGGCCATTCTCCCTCAGGTTAGTCCGCAGAGACTTCTTTCTGACGAGGGGAACCCTGTAGCGAGCGATTGCAAAGGGATGATTTGGGGGAGGAAGCATCATTAGGCAAGGATTATTCGGGCAGGGGCGGGGGGTGGGCTGTGGAAGCAGCAGGAAGAGAAAGCTGGCCCTAGGGAGGACGAAGGAAGGAGGTCAAGCCCGGCCGGCAGGGCTCAGTGGTTGAGCATCAAGCTAGGAACCAGGTGGTCACGGGTTGATTCCCGACAGGGGACAGGTCCTGATTGCGGGCTCCATCCCCAGTAGGGGGCGTGCAGAGGGCAGTTGATCCATGATTCCCTCTCATCATTGATATCTCTCTCTCTCTCTCTCTCTCTCTCCCTTCTTCTCTGAAATCAATAAAAACTTTTTTTAAAAAAAGGAACAAAGTCAAGAGGGAAGGCGTTCCTGCCAAAGCCGGTTTGGCTCAGTGGTAGAGCGTCGGTCTGCGGACTGAAAGGTCCCAGGTTCGATTCCGGTCAAGGGCATGTACATTGGTTGCGGGCACATCCCCAGAAAGGGGTGTGCAAGAGGCAGCTGGTCGATGTTTCTCTCTCATCGACGTTTCTAGCTCTCTATCTCTCTCCCTTCCTCTCTGTAAAAAATCAATAAAATATATATATATATTTTAAAAATATATTTTATTTATTTCATATAGAGAGGAAGTGAGAGAGATAGAGAGTTAGAAACATCGATGAGAGAGAGAGTCATCGATCAGCTGCCTCTTGCACACCCCCTACTGGGGATGTGCCCGCAACCAAGGTACATGCCCTTGACCGGAATCGAACCCGGGACCCTTCAGTCCCCAAGCCGACGCTCTATCCATTGAGCCAAACCGGTCCCGGCCAATAAAATATATTTTAAAAAAAAGAAAAAAAAAAAAAAAAGAGGGAAGGCGTTCTTATTTGGGCACAAAAATACAAATGAGTTGGTGGTTGTCCCGAGGCCGCTGGTCCAGGGGTGGAGCTGGGGCCACACTGGGCCTGGCCCAGGGAAGCCACGACAGTTGGTGATGCCAGGGTGCGCTGCCTGGGTGGGTCTTCCTCTGAGTGCTTTAGGCTTGGCAGTGTTTTGAGGTCTCAAACTAAATCCCACCGTTATCGCCTCATTCCTTTGCGTCTAGAACTTATTTACAAACAAGGAAGTTCTCGAGAGAGAATTATGCTGGGCTATCTGCCCTGGACTCGTATTTAATATATACACACTGTTAGTCCTCACCAGAGGATATTTTCCTATTGATTTTTATAGAGAGTGGAAGAAAGAGGACTTTCTTCCAAAGAGACAGAAAGAAACATTAATGTGAGAGAAATACATCAAAGGGTTGCTTCCTGCAGGAGCCCTGACCAGGGAGGGGCCTGCAACTGAGTACGTGCCCTTGACCGGAACTGAACCTGGGACCCTTTGGTCTGCAGGCCGATGCTCTATTCACTGACCCACACCAGCCACGCTGGACTCCTATGTTTAAATGCACAGAATGTTCTTTCCTCTGAACAGTGACCCACCCCAGCTACAGCACTGGCTCCCCAGGGAGGCAGAGAGCGAGAGAGAGAAAAATGGTCAGGAGAGAAATGTGAAAAGGAGGAGAACATCTGGGCAGAGAGGCCGGCCAGGGACAGGCAGCCGAGGGGACGTGCCCCCGGAGCCTCTGTGCCCTGCGCCTGACTCACTTGTAGATGAGGCACTCGGAGAGCGCCACCAGCGCGAGCAGCAGCAGCCACTTCATGCTTCCTCCAGGCTCCGGTCTCTGAGAAGGTCGAGGGCGGATGGAGGCAGGTGTACAGTGGCAGGCCACGAGGCGCCTTATATACTGCCCAAGTGTGAGGGAACAAATCCTATCAGCCTTCAAAGGTGACCGCTTATCTCAACCGCAAACACCAAGTTTTCTGATAAGATTGTCCCTCCCCAGAGCCAGGTCCTGAGAAGTTCCCAGGGGAGTGGCTTTGTAGCTTTCCGTCGAGGCCACGTCCCAAGGATGTGTGGGTGCAGGCGATGGCTGGGTGGAGGCTTAGTCCTTAAGTGATGAAGTGTAAGAAAACTTGACAAGTTGAGTATATTGTCAAAATTGGGCTCAAGGGCCTTTGACATTTCATGGATGTCCTTGGAGTTTGGTGTCCCTCATTCGTCCCCATGGGGCCAATGGCCGGGGTTCTGGGAGAGCCGGGGTTCTGGGGGAGCAGCTCCCCATGTAGATATGGGCCAGTTCCTGTTGCTGAGGCCCCGAAGCATGGTCCTAGGCCCGTGACTGGGAATTTGAGACCTTTCCCTACAGAAATGTCACTGCACTGAGTTGCTGAGTACCTTGTTCTCACGCGGTTGGGCCAAATCCTGTAAAGTGGTGCATGTGGGGCAGAGGAGGAGAGGGCGGAGCGGGTGGGAGAACGTGGCCGCCTTGAGACAGCTGGCGTGTCTTTGGGATCTATGCCCCTCATATCTCACGCTCCTCCTCTTCCCACAGCTGCTCTCCCACCCTCTCAGGTTGCTCAAAGCCTCTGCCTTTTATTTATTTATTTTTATTTATTTAAAAATATATTTTATTGATTTTTTACAAAGAGGAAGAGAGAGGGATAGAGAGTTAGAAACATCGATGAGAGAGAATCATCGATCAGCTGCCTCTTGCACACCCCCTACTGGGGATGTGCCCGCAACCAAGGTACATGCCCTTGACCGGAATCGAACCTGGGACCTTTCAGTCCGCAGGCTGACGCTCTATCCACTGAGCCAAACGGGTTTTGGCAGCCTCTGCCTTTAAAATATTTTTATTTTAAATGTATTTTTATTGATTTCATAGAGGAAGGGGGAGAGAGAAACACTGATGAGGAGAGCGAATCCTCCTCCTCCTGCACGCCCCTCACTGGGGATGGAGCCCGCAACCAGGCCTGTGCCCTGATCGGGAGTTGAACCGTGACCTCCTGGTTCCTAGGTCGATGTTCAGCCACGGAGCCATGCTGGCCTGATGAAGCCTATATCGTTGAGATCCCAGAGGGCCTGACTCTCTCGTGTCCTCTGTGCTTATGATTTGGCTGAATTTGCTGCATCTGTGCTTACGATTTGGCTGAATCTGCTGCAGGCGACAAAGCCACCTGGGACATGCGTACTCGTGTATGACCTACCCGAAGGTTCTTCTTCTTAAAGTCTCTTTTTAAACAAGGATGTTGCCAGCCCACTGGCTTCTCGCTGGGGCTCATTCAGTGGATAAAGCAGACAAGGCTAGCGACAGTGTTGATCCTGGAGCTCTGGGAAGGGGGAACTTGCGGGGGGGGTGGGGGGAGGGAGGCCACCAGGGGGCAGAGAGCACTGTCCACGGGCTTGTTCTGAAATCGGATTTCTTGGGCCACCCCGGGTTTTTCAGCACCAGGGGACGTAGGTTCTGGCCAAGCTCCAGATCCCCCCGAGGCTCCGGGTGAGTGTGGGGGGGGGACCCATGGGGGTCGGGACACAGCATATCTGTGTTCAAAGACACCTAAGACATCTTCCTGCCCAGACTGGGGTCCCTGACCGGCATTTCTGCTTTTGTATCACCTGCTGCTTTCTCTCCTCTCTTTCCTCGCCTTGAGCCTTTCCCCTTCGAGCCACACTCTCACTTCTGCACTGACTCAACTAAAGATCTGCCCAAGTCCCAGAGCACCAGGTGGAAACCCTGGGTCAAGGTTACCAAGGAAGGAGGACGGACGGCGGGAGAGAGGAGGGAGGGACCCTTCAGTCCAAGGCCTGATGCTCCAACCACTGAGACACATGGGCTGGTATTCAATGTGTCCTGATTATGTGCCTGCTTCGTGCTGTTCCGGTCGCTGGGACACATCCATGAACAAGATGTAAAGAGGCAGGCCTTCTGGGGGTTCACAGCTGGCCCAGAAAAGGGCATGGGGGGCCTCATTCCTTTCCACTCAGATGGACCTTGGGGTCCCACCAATGGGGCACTCTTGGATTGCGAGAAGTTGTCTCCCTACATGAATGATTTTAACATCCTGGGACGGGGGGGGAGGTGGGGGGGAGGGGAAAGTCTGGGCTTGTGGCAGGGCACACGGTGGCCCCGAAGTGTCCTCTGCTCTGGGGGGGCATGTTCCTTGTCACTCTTGCCCTTGGGCAGGTGCGGGCCTGTGACACACTGCTGGGCAATAGGGTACGCGTTCTGATTTCGTGGTGACATCACATGAGCTGGTCACTGTCTTTGTGCAGATTGTCGCCTGCCGGCCTTGATGAAGCACCACCCTCCGGAGAGTCCCACGTGGCAAGGAGCAGAGCGAAACCTCCAGCCCCCAGTCATCGGGGAATGAAGCCAAAAGTAACGGATTCCCTCTAATGATCAGGTAAGCCTCAGAGGAGATCCCAGCCCTGGCTGACATCTCGATGTAGCTGGAGGCCGTGAGTTCAGTGGCAGCCGATGGAGCCTGGATCCTCAGCCCACGGAACTGGGGGCATAAAGGTGAGTGGCGTTAACTTGCCAAATCTGTGTTCGTTCATCACCAGCAATAGGAAGTGAACATGGTTAGGAACCCCTAGAAAACCCCGCAAGGTCCCTCCGTGGCCTCCATCTGGGGCCACTTCAGGGTTGGGCAAGGCAGCTTTCTGCCAAGCAGTGAATATCAGGAGTGGGGAGGGTGGCAGCAGTGGCATCGTGGGCCGTGGGTCTGAAACCTCCATCAGCACAAAAGGCGCGTGCTGTTGCATGGCCTTGGCTCTCGTGCTGGCCGAGTGCTTGGGGATCCTGGAGCTTTCAGACGTGATTATCCCTGCATTTCCCAGCAGCACAGCTCAGAGGTGGATGGGGCTGGCCCAGGGTCACGTAGTGAGGAGTGACACGCGAGGCCTAGGACGGGGTGCAGGACGGGGTGCAGGGGGCTCTGGTCTTGGGAGACGTCCTGGGCCAGGCCCTCTCCTCCCCCTGCCCGCCTGCGTCTACCTATCAGTGATGGCCGCAACCTCCATCCCAGAGGAGCTGTAGGGGAAGAGGGGGGAGCCGGGACCGGGCTCCTGGAGGCGGGTCATGCTGCCAGCAGGGAAGCCGGTAATCTGTGCGTGCCAGACGGTCCGGTGGAGAGATTAGACAACAGCATTGACTTTGCCATTAGCGCTGCCGGCACTTGGCTTTGAGGGGGCGCTGGGAGCTTCATTGCTGACGGGGCAGCCTCACCAAGGGCACAGGTGTTCAGGAATGTTATGTGAACACAGCACATCAGGCAGTGGAACGTGATCTAAGGAGCCGATGGCGGCAGGGCCGGCCGGGACTCATTGCGATAGGTGTTATCGGGGTCTGATACGCTTGGGACGCGGGGCCCCAGGAATTTTCCATCAAGGCCTCACCCCAGCCAAAGTCTTCCCGGGACACGGAACCGTGTATGCTCCCAGCCCCATGCAGTTTCTCCAGAGACCAGAACAGGTTCAAAGTATTAAATTTATAACAACATTTTGGCCCAAGTCTACAAATGGACAAATAATACATGTCCATTGCAGGTTATTTACAGGCAAATGAAAGTTAAAAAAGGACCCAGCCCACAGCCAGAACCCTCCCAGGAACGGTGTGTGTGTGTGTGTGTGTGTGTGTACAGCAATGGGGCCAGGCATTGGTTTTGCATATTACTTTCTGAAGGAGAATTAAGTGCTCAGGTGTTTTCCAAGGGATTTCTTATACGTCTACATAATCATTTTAAACAATTTTTCTTGAAATATAATGTGCATACAGAAAGATGAGTGTCATGCGGGATAGCTTGATGAATGTCACACATCAAGCATATTTGTGTAACTCCTACCACATCAAGAAACAACACAGCCCTGGCTAGTGTGGCTCAGTGGATAGAGCATTGGCCTGCAGACCTTTTGGTCCGGGGTTTGATTCCAGCCAAGGGTACTTACTTTGGTTACAGGCTCCTCCCTGGCCCAGGCCCTGGTTAGGGTGCCTGCAGAAAGCACAACCAATCAATGTGTTTCTCTCACATTGATGTTTCTCTCTGTTCTTCCCTCTCTCCTTTACTCTCCCTAAAAACCAATGGGAAATATCCTTGGGTGAGGATTTTTAAAAAAGAAAACAAATTGCAAGCCCCCCTGCTCCCTCAGGTACCCTTCCACCCTTGCCTAAACCATCGCCCTCACTGCAGGCAGCAGATGGCTCGGGCCCGCACTTGTACTTGAGGTAAATGACACTGCGTAATAGGCACGTTGCTGCGTCTGGCTTCTTTGCTCAGAATCACGAGTGTGGGCATCACATGGTGCTGTGTGTCTCTCAAATCAGCCGTTCTCACTGCTGCATGTCATTCTACTTGGACACGGATACCTCAGTGACCTCGAATCTGGCTGGTGGGCACGTGAGCAGCTCCTGTGGGGGCTCTTAGGGCGGGGCTGCTCTGAGCCTTCTAGTCCGCCCCCCTCCTCACTCCCTCCCGTGAACATGCACAGCATTTCTGTTGGGTGCGAGCTCAGGAGTGGAATTGCGGGATCACCGGGCATGGTGTGTTTCAGTGGATAGAGCGTCGGCTTGTGGACCAAAGGGTCCCACGTTCATTCCGATCAAGAGCACATGCCTGGATTGTGGGCTCAGTCCAATGTGCAAGAGACAGCCAATCAATGATTTGCTCACATCATCGATGTTCTGTCTCTCTTCCTCTTCCTTCCTCTCTCTGAAATAAATGAAAATATGTTAAAAAAGAAAAAAAAGAAAAGAAAAAAAAGAAACTGCTGGCCTGTTCCCCCAAGTGGTGTTAGGCTGTCCTCCCAGCAGCCGCGAGCGGG